CAGTGGTGTGGGCCTCGGCGTCGTTCTTGCTCAACAAAAAACTAGCTTCGATGACTACGTCGTCGCTTTGGCCAGTCGCGCTCTGACGAAGACTGAAATGAACTATTCTGTCACAAAAAAAAATGTCTGGTGATAATTTAGGCCCTAACTAAATTCCGATCATACCTCTACGGCCGCCAATTTGAATAAAAGAACTTATAATGAAGGGTCGACAAGCAATGCAGAGATAAAAAAAAAAGTAGTAATAGACCAGATTCAGCTTTCAAGGGTGAAAAAAATTTCGGCAGATCCCATGTGCCGTGGGAATCGATGTAATGCAAAGCATGCGGATGGAAGGTGACTGTGTTGTAATTTTTTTTATTTAGCAAAATGTGACGAAGTGGCCAACAAAGGTTGATGGAGCAAATTGTCAAGCCGTGAAGAAGCTCGTAGGCAAAGTCACCAGTGCCACAAGATTGTTAAAAGGGATAAGAGACAGGCACGGCGGTATAAAGGAAGAAAATGCCATTCGACTAATTCATTCTTTCAATATCAGCCGCATTGCCTACGTAGTCGGCTACCACTACCGGTACGTCGCTGATAATAAAATCAACATGCTCATTAGGAAAACATACAAGAGCGTCTTGGGCCTCCCGGAATCTATGAGTACCGAGGTTTTGACCCAGGGGGGTATACTTAATAGCCCGGAAGAAATATTCAAAGCACAATGCATTTCACAGCTTGACATCCTGTCGACCACTTCAACGAGAAGACAAATTAGGAACTAGCTTGGCATAACTTACCACCACCAGCACAGCCAGCAAACTTATATCCCCATTGAAATCATGGACACCATTACAGTAGCAAGTATCCGTGAAACTGTGCACCCCAACCACAACCGAGGCAGAAGAAAGGCAGAGCGGAGGCATTGCTTCGTTATTTCAGCAGAAAGAGGAATGACCGCTTTGTCGATGCAGCTGAATGTGCTGTTGGTCTTTAAATATACTGCCATAGTAACAGACACTGGCTCTAAAACCAGAATTGATGAAGTGTACGCATGTAATCTTTAGTGTGTCTGTCAGTGCCACTCATAGCTAAGGCAGAGAGTGGGGAACACCCTTTCTGCCATATGGCGTCATGTAGCACAGGATCCTTTTTACAAACTGACAGCTTGCATATCTAACAACATAACGAGCCTTTAATTCCTTCCACCTTTTATAACGAAGCAAAGTTCTTGTCCCAGCATATTTCATTTGCCCTCAGGTAGCTGTGATGATTAAGTGGCTTCACGGTGACAGTGTTGTGTTCTCGGTGTTATGTTGTGGTGTCGGCAGTTTGGTGAATGCAGTGGCATAGACACTACAGCAGCACCATGCAACGAACACGTGCAGCGCAGAGAAAATTAAGACATTGACAGGTGATTGCACGGGTCAATGGATGAAGGCAAAAAAGGCCATAACCAGTTGGAAGGCAGCACGGCAGTGACAGAGAATAAAACGACAAAAACCGATTAGAAGGTGGTACAGCAAAGGGAGAGCTCGAGAAGCAGGCAGAAACGTTTGTCAAGGTACACAAACAAAAATAAGTCACAGGTTCAGTTCAATAAGTCACAGGGGGCACGTGCCCGGTGTGCAACCGCCTGGCTACACCCCTGGGAAGTGCCCATACTTTAGGAGTACTAGAAAAAGAACTGGCATGAAGTGAGCCCGATATAGGTCAGATTTCCACAGTCCACTGCTGTCGGAGAAGCAAGGAAGCCTATTTAGACTCTGTGGTGTCTTGAATGCAGAAGTTGCCTCTTTTGACGCATCAGGTCCATCTAAGGCCTATGGGCCGAAGTAAAGTATTCGCTTGCTAGGAGTGGTTGTGTCAACATGCCTGAAAGCAACGTATTGGGTTAGGTTGTAATCTTTCCTATGGTGAGGCTAGCAATTCAGCTGAGTCTACGAGCCACTGTATGCTCACTTATAGATGACCGTCTTCTCGCCAGTCTTTCCAAGGCCATTCGATTCCTTTCTCTAACCATAGCCAAACAGTTAGGCCTGTTAAGCATCTTGTTTGGGATGCTGTAACCTAAGCCTCAAGTAGAAATAAGGGGTGGTTTCTTTTGGACCTTGATTACAGACAATGGAAGAGTATTTTTTTGTAATGAGTGAGGGTTATTCACTTGCATGGAATAGGAATTGTGACGTGTTGTATAGTTTTTTCCACATGATAGTGTATATATGTAAAAAGTGGTTGGTATACAAAGGTTAATTTTATGTGTATGTGTGCGAGGACTATTTGGCGTGTGAGAGAACTGAGAACTTAATAGGCAGACGAGAGGACGATTCGGTGCTAAGGTCACTGAAGACACAGCGGGCTGGCGACATCCCTGCCCATGCACACAGCGTGGAGTCTGGCAGCAAGCACCTGGGCTCGTCTCATGACTGGCAACCGGCAGCAGGCTCAGCTGCATAAACAACTGGAGACCCTTCGACGCTACGGATCCTTTGTGCTCGACTCCGAAAGCCGACAGCATGAATCCAAAGAGCCACGTTGTGTCCCTCTGGTTACTCTTGGTCTCTCTCGGCAACTGGAGCGGAGAAGCCTGCTCGCAATGGATGTTCAGCTGCTTGATGGGACGGAATGCTCCCGTACCAGGTTTGTTCGTTTCTGAGAATGGGAGACAGCGCTGTTGTGTCCTTTGTGCTCGAGTCCGGAACTCGAGAGCACAGACCCTGACTCCAGCATCTCTTCCTCTGCCCGGTCCAAGTCAGAATCTGCGAGCTCCTTGTCATCGTCTTCTCTCCCGTTCTCCTTCTGCTGAGCCATCTTCTCTATGTTTCTTGTCGTTTTCTCCTCTGCCTTGACCGTGCCACTTTCCAATTGGTCGGATTCCTTACTGCAGTCATTCGTTGACCCGTGCAATCGCCCCCCCAACGTCTTCATTTTCTCTATGCCACACGTGTCCATTGTGTGATGCCGCTGTTGTGTCTATGCCATCACATTCGCCACACTGCCGACACCACAACCCCGAGAACGCATCACTGTCACCGTGAAGCCACTCATTCATCAAAGTAGTGTGTGAGTATTTATTTGTCAGCTCGTGAAAATGGAAGACCAGGTGTGTAGGGATGTCACCTTCCAATAAGAGTGTTCCTCACTTGTCATCATGGTTGCAAATGACACTAGCTAACACTAAATTTTATGCAGTTAAGTCTGAGACATGTCCGGCATGCTTCAGCATACATTTGCCCTATGCTTGAATATGCTTGTGCTATGTGGGACGTTTGGCAAAGTACTTCAAGTTACAAACATGAAAAAATACTAAATAGAGCTACAAAGTTTGTGCTAAGTCAGTACTCAAGAAATGACAGTTGCACCAATATGAAAAATGAACTAGGAAGGAAATTGATCCTATTGCGTCGAAAGAAACTCGTGTACCAAGTATTTCATAGTAAAAGCCGCATTAGAAAAGAAAAGTACCTTCACAGTCCTCATTATGTTGCTTCGAGAAATGATCATTGTTTCAAGATTAAATTTAGAGTATTGTATCAGATCTAACTTGCATGCTAATTTGATTTTTGTTTGCTCCATTAGAGAATGGAATCGCTTATCAAATGAACAAGTGTGTTGTATTAATGAACATTAGTTTTTTTCTACATTGTAACCACTCTGCTGCAGTACCTTTGGGTTAAGCAGGGTAATCATTGAATAAAGAATAAAAGCGTCGATTTAGCTGCCTGCTCTTAATGCTCATACACTGCGTAACATCACTGGGCTGAAGAGAACGTTCTATGTTTGCTTCCATAGCCAATGATGGCTCAAGCTAGCACTTGGAGGGCTAAATCTTGTGCACCTGCATAAATATCTATCACTGTGAGCAGCCGTCGTGGAATCGACAAGTTGAGCGGCTGGGTAAAGATGCATAGTAACCTATTGAAAAGTGTTTGAAGACCGGGTAAAAAGAAAAAAAAAAAGTAGACAAAAGAATCAATAGCTTCAAACTAGTACTGATTTATAATCACACATGTAATACACTTTTCTAAGCCCAGATATATCGAATAGTATATTATGAATAGCAACTGGTGTATCAGATGTATGGGATTCTAATGTATATATTAGGAACATGGTTCTTGTTTGAAGTGTCCCATTTACCTTTGTTTTGTATTGTTTTTAATGCTTTTTTATTAGTGGCTATGCATAATTGAAGCGAAGCAGTTAATGCAAGGGACGTGTAATGCAAAAGCTTGTTTGTTTGGCTGTCAGTGTAGCACTTCCATATTCTTGTTTCTGGATTCTACATCTCAGTTTAAAGAAATCCTACAAATGACTGGCCTTCGTTATCAGTTCGCTTTATAGCTCTCCTCGTTCAGTTTATACTTCATTGAAACCAAGTTATCTGTGTTCTGTAAAACTGACGTTAGGCACACTCGACTTATTGTTCAAGGAAACAAGTGGAAATTAAGGACTCATTTGCTTTGTTGGTCCCAATAATAATGAGAACTAACAGACAATGAGTAGTAATTGTGATATACCTGTGAAAAAGGAAGAAAAGATAACTTTCTGCTGGCAAGGACCTTCCAGTAATGCGTCCGATACTCTCCCAACTGAGCTATAGTAGTGGCCATGCCCCCAGTTCACTTTACGGGATGTATATGTGCATTTAAACGTGGGAGTGTCAGTCAGTTCTACTAGTAGCCATGAAGGTGAGTGGGGAACACTCTTTCTGCCTGTTCGCATCCCGGCTAACACCCGGAAAACAGTGTGAGACACTCTTTTTCGACTTGTTTGATCATCGCTGTAGATCAGCAAGTAGAGCATCGAATGCGTTATTCTGAGGTCCCAGGTTTTGTCTTTTCCAAAGGCAACTTATTTTTGCGTCTGCTTTACCTTCTTATGTTACAATCGCTACTAGCAACATCCCCCATACTTTCCTTGGCATTGTTGTCTGTTAGTTTTCATTTATTATTACTGTTCAAGTCATTAGTATAATATCCCAGCTGCTGTCCCTGTTGAAAAAAGAATGGATTGTGCAGGGCAGTGCGTGAACTGGGCCAGCGCTTGGGACACCAGCTCATCTCTTTGGAGCTGGATGGGGAGGAGCTGACGGATGCTTCTATTGAGGCTCTGCACACCTGCAAACAGCTTCGCACCCTGGGCATTAGCTATGCCGAAAACCTCTCCGATGCCAGCCTTGCCTACATCCAGGCCAGCAGTTTCTTTTTTTTATTAAAACCTCAGTGTCTCTAAAGGAAGTCTAAATCTGGCCTGTGCAGTGTGCCGTGAAATGCCAAACAAGTGCCCTTTTACCTTTTTGGAAAGATCTGAAATAAGTGCCAAATAAATGCCAATGACCAGTCCGAGTCTGAGCAAGTGCCCCTTCCAAATCTGGTCAGATTATCTTTTGTTGTAGAGAGGGGGGAGGGTGCTTGCTCGGAATTTTCACTGGTGCAGCTATGTTACATTGGCAGAGCATGTGCACTTGCTCTCCACAGAGCTCCATGCGTGTCGCCGTCAACCACACGGCAGTAGCACTTGCCAAAGTAACATGCATTTGCATTGAAAGGCCAGTAAAGAACCCTCCTGAGCTCCAAAAATTTTAATGAAGAGAAATATGGGCACTTTTGCTATCTGAACATGCTACAACAAGAATTTCGCAGACACGAGCTATAATAAGGAACTTTCAGAGGTTAGAACTTTAGTGTCAGCAAGTTTTATACTTTCACGCGGCCTGGCCGCCCTCCTCCACTATAGGAAAAAGAAGGCCTATCATCGTAACTCTGGCCCTTTGGCAACATGACATGACGTCAGTGAAACGTCATTGGCGCACAGCAGTGGCGCAGCCAAGGGTGGAGTTGGGCTGGTTCAAACTTTCCCCTGAAATTTTAAGTGCAACCACGCCCCCCTCCGCGTCACTTACCAACCTTTTTTTCTTTTTTTTGTCACTTCGTGCTGACATGATTTAAAAACTTGAGAGTGTAACTATCACAAGTGATTTTTGGGCGCTTTTACAGTGAATAATGTCTGCATGCGAAAAAAACAGGTCGCAGTGTTTGCCAAGGCTTCGACACTTTCTTTAATAAAAAAAGAAATGCGTATAATACAGAAGCAGGTCCCAAAGTGAAAACTGTCAGAGGGACCTCCTGTTAGAACAAGTACATATAACGTAAACAAAGATTGATAACTAAGAAACTGTAATAAACTCTTTCAATATAACAAACTAGCACTTATTTCAATATTTATCAAGGGATATACATACATAGTGAGTGTACACACATATAAATATATTTAAAGCAATACTTATATAGATACACAAATACGATAGGGCGATGCGTGTGGTTAGTAAAAAATTGTTTGAGTTGACGCTGTAAGTAATGTAATTAAGGGCTTGATTTAATTGTTAATGGAAGTGAATTCGAAGATGAAATTGCAGTAAACAATGCTGTCATTTTACCGTAGTTAGTGTTTACTTTTGGAAGCAGAATGTTGCTATTTTCAGAAAACTGTGTGTTATTGTTATTGTGAAGATATTGCTACGGGGCGCCACAAATGAACATTCTAGAAAAGAGGACGATGTTTAGCGCGAGCTCGTGCAGACCGGGCTCCATATTGTATACCTGCCTGTTTACCAAAAGTAAAGGCATTTTTCAGACGCCTTCTCCCCGTAACATTTTGGTGGAGAGTGCGGGTCTTCTCACAGTCAACACCACGACGATTCTACGCAGCGGACGTTCCTTGGCTGCCTGTGCGATGCCTGATCAAGACGAACACGAGGATTCTTCGGAGACTACCCCAAGCGTGCTTCGTCCAACTACGCAGCAATCAACAGCACCGCATCCAGCTGCTACTAACCGCACCGTCGTCCTGACTCAACCGCGTGACCCAGGCACATTTTCCGGCAGTGACAGTACTGACGTGGAGGAATGGCTCCAGCTGTACGAAAGGGTGAGCGTTCTTTACAACTGGGATCCGACGCTCATGTTGGCCGATATTATTTTCTACCTTGATGGTACAGCTAAAGTTTGGTTTTCCAACCACGAGGAAGATATCACGAGTTGGGACATCTGTAAGCAGAAACTCATCGATCTCTTCGGCAAGCCCATTGGGCGTCGTCGTGCTGCGCAGAAAGAACTAGCGTCCCGACTCCAGTCCGGCACCGAGTCGTACGTCACATACATACAGCATGTGCTCGCCCTCTGCCGGAAGGTTGATGACAAGATGCCGGAATCTCAAAAGGTCGCGCACATCCTCAAAGGAATCGCCGATGACGCTTTCAATCTCCTCGTATATCGAAACTCATCGACCATAGACGACATTATTAATGAATTCCGACGCTTCGAAGACGTGAAAAGTCGCCGTATCACTCCACACTTTTCGCGTCTTCCCAACGCGGCTGCAACATCAACCTGCGAGGACGCCCGTTTGGCACCAGCCCCTGCTGCTTCCGACAATATCGTGCGCATCGTGCGCTACGAAATCGAGGCAGCATCTCCTTTGTCTGACCAAGTCCAGGCCCCTGACGACTCTCGCGCCACGATTTCTTTAATCAAGAGTGTCGTACGCCAGGAACTGGCCAACGCTGGCCTTCAGACGCTATGCCCCATTAACCGACCTGACTACCGACTGCGGACACAACAACTTGATTAAAGTAAATGTTGACGGTACTTCTGTGGCAGTACTCATTGACACCGGCGCTCACATATCAGTCATGAACTCCAGCCTTTGTGCTCGACTCAAGAAAGTGCTCACTCCTGCTCCGATCACTCTTGTCCGAGTAGCCGATGATGCAACGCCAGCGGTCACTGGGATATGTGCCGTCCGCGTCACTGTTGCTGGACGTCATACCACTGTTCTGTTTTACGTACTGGACCACTGCCCACATGACATCATTTTGGGACTAGATTTTCTGACGGAGCATTCCGCCCTAATTGACTGTTCTGCTGGTGTCCTACCACACGCCACTGACCCTCCTGATTCTACGACGCCAAAGCTATGCTTTGCCAACTTTTTTCGCCTATCTTGTCGAACTGTGATGTATATCGATGTCTTTTCTGATCTACCTGTGGCTGACGACGATTATGTCACTTCACCTAAACCTAAAGTCCTGTGTTCGCACAATGTTGCGTTCCCCCACACCATCATCACAATGAAGGACAACGTGGCATGTCTCCCTATTGTGAACTTTGGACTTTGCTCTGAAGTTCTGCCACGAAGGATATCCCTTGCAACCCTTGCCCCAGCCGGTAACTACCACATATCCGCGTTAACAGAGGATACATCGTCATCTGCCAGTATTCAGTCGGGCAGTACACTAGACTGCATAACTAAAATTATTGCCTCTGATCTGCCGGCCGAGCATGATACATCGTCATCTGCCAGTATTCAGTCGGGCAGTACACTAGACTGCATAACTAAAATGATTGCCTCTGATCTGCCGGCCGAGCATGTGCCTGCGCTTCGTGGCCTTCTTACGTCGTATCAAGACGTCTTTGATTTCCACGACCCACCCCTAGGTCAAACGACCGTCGTAAAGCATCGGATCAACACCGGCGATGCAAATCTAGTACACCTGCGACCCTATCGGGTTTCCTTCACCGAGCGCCACGTGATCCAGCAAGAAGTCGACAAGATGCTTGCTTGAGACATCACTGAACCTTCTTCAAGTCTTTGGGCTTCGCCCGTTGTGCTCGTGAGAAAGAAGGATAACAGCTGGCGCTTCTGTGTCGACTACAGAAATCTTAACAAAGTTACAAAAAAAGACGTGTATCCTCTGCCACGGATAGATGACGCTCTTGACTGCCTTAGTGGAGCAAATTATTTCTCTTCCATCGACCTTCGTTCCGGATACTGGCAGATATCAGTTGATGATCTGGACCATGAAAAGACAGCATTTATAACTCCCGACGGGCTCTATCAGTTCAAAGTAATGCCGTTCGGGTTATGCAATGCCCCAGCTACATTCGAACGAATGATGGACGCTCTTCTTCACGGTTTCAAGTGGTCAATCTGCTTATGTTACCTTGATGACGTCATTGTTTTTTCGCCAACTTTCGAAACTCACCTCGAGCGTCTCTCAACAATTCTTTCGGTTTTCCGCAAAGCAGGGCTCCAACTAAACTCGTCCAAATGTCACTTCGGCCGCCGGCAGCTCACTGTCCTTGGACACCTTGTCGATTCTTCTGGTGTTCGTCCCGATCCTGAGAAAATCCGTGCCGTCAAAGATTTCCCTGTGCCGACCTCTGCGTACGACGTCCGAAGCTTTGTGGGCCTCTGTTCTTATTTTCGTAGATTTGTACGGAATGTCGCTGACGTCGCACGCCCGCTCACGAAACCACTAAAAAAATTGCGACTTTTGTGTGGGGACCTGAACAAGCCAGAGCATTCGTTGAACTGACGACTAGACTCACGACGCCACCGATTCTCGGCCACTTTGATATATGCGCTCCGACGGAAGTGCGTACCGATGCCAGCGGACACGAAATTGGAGCCGTTTTGGCACAATGACAGCATGGCTGCGAGCCCGTTATTGCATACGGTAGCTGTCTTTTATCGCCGGCAGAGCGAAATTACTCCATCACAGAATGCGAATGCCTCGCGCTCGTCTGGGCAGTGGCTAAATTTCGGCCGTATTTGTGTGGACGCCCGTTCACGGTTGTCACTGATCACCCTGCCTTATGTGGGTTGTCGTTCTTAAACGATCCTAGTGGACGTCTCGGCCGGTCGGCTTTACGGCTACAGAAATATTCCTACACGGTTGTCTACAAATCAGGCCGCCACCATGAGGATGCTGATTGCTTGTCGCGTCATCCAGTAGACCCAGGACACCTTTCGGAGAGCGATGAGTCTACTTGCGTTTTGGCACTTTCCGCGTTTAGCAACATGAGCTAAACGCCGTGATCCTCACATCAGAGATATAACCCTTCATCTCGGTGGTCCCACAACTCCTCCGTCTCTCAGTATGTTCCTGCTCAAAGATGGTGCATTATATCGCTACAGCATGCATCTTGATGGACCTGAGCTGCTGTTGGTCATACGACAACATATGGGTCAGACAGTCCTTGCACAGTTGCATGATATTCCGACAGCTGGTCACCTGAGAGTTGGTCACCTGGGATCACCTGGGAGTTTCAAGAACTTATGACCGCGTTCGACGTCACTTCTTTTGGCCCGGTATTTACCGATCCGTCTGCTGTTACATTGCCTCATGC